TGGTCGGTGGGCATGTCGGCGTTGCCGTTGTCTCCGGGGGTGGATGGATGGGAGCTGCCCGCGGGGTCCTCCGGCTGCGGGGCCGAGGAGGTCGTCTGGAAGGGATGTGCACGGTGAGCGAACCGGCGTGGTTTGTACAGTCTCAAGAGGGAAGCCACTGTGGAAAAATCAATTTTGCAGTGACTTCAGATTTTATAATGATAGATCAGCACCAAGCTAGAGCTTTTCCTTAAATAAACTATTAGCTGAGGTTTTCATTAAAAAAAAAAAAAAAAGGGAGGAGGGAGAAAATAAATGGGACAGTCATTCTAATGGATGTTGCATAGTTTAAAACTTCAGTCGGAGGATTTGTGCAGATATTAAAGTGGGCTGTGCCCTGTCTTAAGCTGAGTCCTGCTGGGAGCACATTATTCTTGGACATCAGGTTTCATCTAGGGTGAGGAAGGCTGCTGAAACTTTTGACGTGGCTATAAGAATTTCCATTTGTTTAGACAGTGTAAGATTTCTCTGGCTTTATATTAATTGGCTGCCTGTCAGATGCTACCTGGTTACCAGAAGGGTCTGCCGTGGGAAAACTGCTTTCTGCCTGCTCCTTTCTTCTGTTCCTGCCAAGGCATCTCCAGTTGGGTGCTGTTGGAGAGGGTATTCTGGACCTTTGGACTATCAGAACTTTGTTCTCAGTTTTTTGAAGTACCTCATTACTTAGGGGATCACAGAACCAAGAACACTGTTAAAAATCGTGTGGTTGCTTAATACAGTGAACAGTCGCTGAATGACTATCCTGGTTTTATTTGCAGCCATTTGTCATCTAGGTGTGTAAAAATCACTTTGCTGTTTCTTCCTCTTATCTTCCAGCTCCTTGTTATTAGAATTTACAGTGTTGTAGTTTTCTTGAAAGAAATTATACATTTTTCCTGTAATGTACATGGTATAATAGTGATACCCTATAGTAACTGACTCTCATCATATGATGATAGGGATGGATAATTGATTCTAAATGTGACTTTTATCCTTTACCTACTTGAGCATAGGCTCTAGTATACATCTAGTACATGTGAAGTTTAGGACTATTTAATAAAGGTTAATATCTTAAATGAAGAAAACTAAATGTCCTTATAAATGTTAGTACATTCCCATTGTTCAGTGGCTTTTAGCAGGCATACTTCAGGTTATTATGTTTGGTTTTCCAGTTCTTTCAAAATTCATGTGTTATGTAATTCCGTAGCAAGATTGATTTCTTTCTATTTCCTTGTAGTGTAATCCTGGGGATTTTAGGGGTTACAGTCCTGTCTTTGTTTTAGTCTATGTGCTGTCAGGCCCTTTTTAAGGGAGGGTAGAGCAAAACTTTGTGATTCAATACTTCCTGTAAGGGCATTCCCAGAAATTACCAACTTTGGCACATAGCCTTAGTCACTTCTGGAAATAATAACAAACGAATCATTCTATAATAATAATTCTGTCATCATGTCGGCACCAAAGCCTCAGTGGTACATTTGCCTATTTAAATGTAAAGGAGAATGCAGAAAGCAGAAATTTTTTGGTATAGGTTAGGGTAATGAATTAGGAAAGAAGATACTAAAGATGAATGATGAACAAGAGTGCAGTGACTTTTTGGAGTCGTTTGGTTTAGACTTCCTTGCCCTTAGGCTGGGGCAGATAGAAATGCTCTTAAGGTCAGTAGGAGGAGTTCAATGAAGAGGATATTATGAGTAAGAAGCTTCCTGGACTCAGGTTTCAGGCATATGACAGAGATGGGCTTTGGAGACCTTCTGGAGCCAGACCTGAAAGGGAGCTAAAGCTGCCACTGTGAGAGGTGTAGAAGAAAGAGGATTAGTTAACTACGAGACTTTCCCCTCTCTGGCACATGAGCCAGGTCTTACACATATACCACCGAGCAGAAGTAGTGAGATGGGGGCTATGTTAGCAAGGGATTAGTTTGGGCTTCGGTGGTTTGAAAGTGGTGATGCTCGTCCATAAAAAATGGGAGATGCTCATTTTGCTACAGTTATGAAAGCTGCCATGTGGCTGGACTATCTTGGGGTTTTAATATTAATGACAGTATCATATATATGGAAAGTTTCTATCACTGTTAATGGTGCTAGCTTTAGAGATGGGACTATGCTGATGCACTTACATCTATTTCTTTAAAAATGTAATTCTAGATATAAGCATACATGGCTCCTGGTGTCTCAACTGAGAAGAAAACTGATGATGAACAGTCTTCAAAGTAAGATTCAGAAATGAATTATCTTGTTGAAGTTTACACTTACCTTCCTCCTCAAACTCATTACATGCTTGTTTAAGATAAAGTTTATGATACAAATATTGATTATAACATTAAGTATCTAATAGAAGCTGTTTTGACAAATGGAGTCTTTGTTTTACCCACATCTACATGGAGGGCTTTGCTGGCTAGCCATTTTCATTTAATTTTTCCAAGCATAGGTGGTGTTTTTATCTATTTATTTATTTTAATCCAGTAAGCTGTTGAAATGTTGACTTTGATTGCTGCATATAGCCAGATCTATGTGCTTCAAGAGTTTGAACAAATATTTCAATCTGTTTCTCTAATCCTTACTTCAAGCTTATTTTTGTAAAACCATACATGCATGTTTAGTCCTCAGATAGTCATGTTTTGTTTAAACTCTCAGAAGTTGTTGGTGCTTTACAACAGTGTGAGGGGAATAAATTATTTGCTCCTCAGTTACAGGCCAAAGATTTTTATCAGGCAAACTTTGCCTCTACTGTAAATTTATGGCATTGGTCCTATGTACACATACTAATATGCTTACTTTTATTGCCCATTCTACCATAGGGTCCAAGTCTGCAATTAGCTCTGGATGGGCAGATAGGCAGTAAAAGTTAGTAACAGCTCCTAACTGCAGTGAAATGGTGGGGTGAAGAGTGTGGCTGGTAGGGTATGAGATGAAAAAGGTGAAATACAGACACTGCTGAGGCAGGGTGTGAGGACAGTGGTGTTGGCACATACTACATTAATTTCCCTGTAATTTTGATAGAGGCCTCGCCTTTTCCCAGTTTGTTTCCTGGAGAGAAGCTTTTATTGCTGGTATTCTCATAAAGAAGGAAATACTTTTTGCTTGTCTGAGAACAAATTGTAAAGTGATTTCAAATCATATCCTATTTGTATGTAAAAGCCATTCCAATAAACATCAGCACAGCCAGCTATTTGATCTGCATTAGTGAGTGACCCATTAAATATGGGTAGAGAGTTCCACAAAACCAAATGGGAATAATTCGGAGGAGACAGCCTGGGAATTCTGCTCATGTGAGCTGGCAAACTGCTGGGCTGTCTGCGCCTTTCTGAAGAGCCATAAACCTGCTCTCTATTTCTCATGGAGTCAAACAGGCCTCTCAGAGGGAAGAAGAAAGACAACCAAAGCCTTTGATTCCACCTCAGGTGGGATTTGTATGAGGAGGGCTGAATGGGACATGGGGGAGATGGAAGGGAATTACTACTGAAGGGGTGAACAAACCGTGTGCTTTGCTGGGCTGCTTTTTCCGTTGTTGAAGGGGGTAGTGTGTGGTGGGCAGGGACAAATGGGGTGGACTGGGTTGATACCTCTTTCTTTGGTTGTGCAGCTGCTGATGGATAGCTGGTGACGCTGGAGAGAGAATTTCAAGAACAGAAACAATTGATAGAATATTCGGGTTGTAACTATTTTCGTTGCTTTACGAGGAACAGTTCAGTGACCTCAGTATGGGCATCTGGGCTACTTTAGGCTTCTTAAGGTAACGAATACATCCTGCATAGGATTGGCAGATAAAACGTAGGACCTATAGAAAAGCACTGCCCTTCTGGAGAGGCATTAGAAGACAGACAAGATAACATAAAACATCTAAAATAGCACTAAATGCCCATATTTAGACTTCAGGGTTGTTCCTGCAGTCTTACAATTTTTTTTTTTGTGTAAACTCCAGGCAGACTATTTTGTTTGTCTCCTCTGACAAAGCAGTTTGAATTTGCTGAGCAATGCTGTGACTGCAGTGAGCTGTCATTAAGCTATTAAGTCATCTTCTTGTGTCTGGAAGATATTTATTGCTTGATTTCTTCTCTCAGAAACTACTTTGAAGTATTGGCCAGTATTTTACTCAAGCTTGTGATTATTGACTAGTCTTTCATACCTGTTTCTGAAACTGAACTTGAAACATCAAGCACAGAATGAGAACCTTTTATGAATCATTCAGGTTGCTTAGTTAGTCCACTACCAAAGTTACCATGAAAGCAATCCTACATGCTAAGTAGTTCAGTTTTCCCTCTTTGCCTTGTAGTTTCCTGGTTCTTCAGAAATTTTTTTTAAGCTGTATCACTTCCTTCCAGGAAGCGACTTAGGAGGAAGTGAATTCATTTTACCTTTTCCTCTCATCTTGCATTTTTTTTTCTCTTCCATGGTTTTATCTTCGTTCAGATTTCTGTTTGCTTCTTTCCCTCTCCTATTTCAGATCCTCTGTACTGTTGTTACCAGTCTCATGCCATAGATTTTTTTTTCCTCCTGAGTGGATGACAGAGTGTTACAGTGAGCCAGATTGCCAGAAATCCCATTTGGGCCTGTCTATAAAGCCCAGATCTTCTCACCCCTCTCAGGTGGCCAGGAGGGTCAGTCAAAACACAGAGGTCAAGTTTGCTTTTCAGTTTTGCTATAGATTGTCTATGCAGTATGGTGGTCTACTGAATATTCCCTGGTCCTGTTTCCGTTGTTCTGCTCATTATAAAGACCCCTCTGGTTCACAGCTTTAATATTGTTTAAGATAAAAGTTGCACTGTTGCAAATGCATCCTAGCATCCGGGCTTTTCTTCAGCATTTTCATCCTCTGCAGGAAATGGAATGTTCAATATCATTTGTGATTTGTTATGACATGTAAGGCGGTCATGAAATTTAGGATTTCCTTAATGTAATGCATGAGGAACCAAAATAAAGTAGTGCAGGCATTCTTAGGTGTGGCATTTCCCAACTTTTATTGCTTGACTTCGCAAAATTAGCATCTGTTCAATGTAGGGATTTGTATATACTCTATGTTTCACAATGCTGCTGTCCTAACAGAGAGAATTTTATCCATCTCTGCAACCCTCACCTGGAGAAGATGAGAGAAGATATCCTGTACCATTTTGCTCTTGGGACTGGTACCCATGATTTTCCAGTATTGTTTGGCGATGTAAAGGTAAGAGGCTTCATTTCATTCAGCAAGCCTAACCTTTTCTGCAGAAGATGGAATCATAGCTGTCTTTAATATTACATGTGTTGGCATACCACCAACTGGGGAATGAATGGAAAGGGGATAAGGTTTTGTGGGTTCTTGTCATTTTCAATATCAAGGAAAATTTGGGATAGTTGTTTCTGTCTGTCTCTTTTCATCCAGCAAAAAAACCAAATGCTGCAATTTCTATTTAGGTAGAACTCCTTTTTGGAGGGCCTTCAAGCTGATACCTGTCTTTCACTCATTTAAACAGGATGAAGGCATTTGAGTGCTATATACAAGGGTTATTTTTCTGTAATTTTTTTTCATGGCCTTTTAGAATGATTGTGAGAAGGACCACACCTGAGAATAGCTTTGTGTTAGTCTTTGCATGTTCTTTGATGTACTGAATCATACAATTGATTTTGTTTTGCTGAATACTGTCCACTCTAGTTTGTATGTGTTGGAGGAAGTCCTTCACGGATGAAAGCTTTTATCACCTACATAGCTGAAGAACTGGGGCTTGGGAGCCCTGGTTGCGACTATCCTAACATCTGTGCGGGAACTGACCGTTACGCAATGTACAAAGTGGGACCTGTTTTGTCAGTCAGTGTAAGTACCTCACTTAATCAGATACGGGACACAGTTCAATGGTGCTGTTCAAAGCAGAAAACATGAACGCACATTTAAACACTTAATAGACAGAGTCAAGTTTTTAAGTTTGTGTCAGCCATGCTCAAAATAGTGCAGTCAGCTGATTAAGAATTTCTTTTGAGCCTCTTTCCTATAAGAGGGCAAATCTCTGAGACCTTCATTCCTTTCTTACCTCCTTTTTTGTCAGTTTACCACCGAGGTGTTGCAGGAATGGCCTTATAAATATTTTTTGAGCAGACTTTCTGTTGCCTCATCCCTGTTCTGTGTCCTGAATAATGGGGAAAAAAGGTCACTTGATGCACGTGGTGTTTTGGAAAAAAATGTCTGTATCACATCGAGAGCTAAGTATCTGCAGTGGCATTGTCAAATGTGCTAACATAGCTTAAGAGTAGCATTCCATGGGACTTGTGCTGCCAACTCATGTATGCATTTTAAAACTTCATGCCTTTAATTTGCATATACGATTAAATACTTCAATTGCAATTGCATAACTGTACTATCATTCTGCACCCTTTCTTTTGAGTTGTAGTTGTCGCATTATCATGCAAGTTAAGGTGGACTTATATTTGCTGAACTTTGTGACTAAACCACAGTGTCTGTGTTTTGAAAAAAAAATAGCTTAATTTAGCACTGCGGGTTGGTAAAATATCAGAGTGGGGTTTTTCTCATGTTTAAGAAAAGTTCTGTGATGAACTGCGTTTGCCAGCTATTAGGAAAGGACACTGCTTATACTTTTGAGAATAAAAATATTTTATAATTAGTGATTTTTATAAATACTTCATCCATAGTCTACCAAAGCCAGTGGGAGTCTTTCTGTTTACCTGCAGTAGCCTTTCAGTAGGCGCATAGGTTAGGGTTTTTGTGGGAGTGAGTTAGGTGACATTTAGAAAAAAATATCAGGAAGGAGATATTTTGTCCAGCTCCCTCTTCCGTGTATATTTTGCATTGTCTATGTGAATGTCGAATATGAATTTCTGCTTTCATTTCAGCACGGCATGGGCATTCCTTCTATTTCAATCATGTTGCACGAGCTGATCAAACTGTTGTATCATGCCAAGTGTTCCAACATAACAATTATTCGCATTGGCACCTCTGGTGGAATAGGTATTTCCCCTCTTGATTTCTTTTTTTTCTTCAAACCAAGCCATTTTTGTAGGAGAGTAAAACATCTCTCTGCAAGTAAGTGATCAGATGAGTTTTCTGCAGGAGATGAATAATTTTGCTTCTGTAATTTGGAAATAATAGGCAATATCTGCCTCTGGCTAGAGGAAATGCACTTAAGAGATCTGACAATGTGAGGAAAAGGACATTCCTGTCCTGTATGAAAAGTATGAGATAAGAAAGAATATATAGTGAAAAAGGGAAAAAAAAAGTTCTTTCAGAAATTATTCATTATACAAAACTGAAGCAGCTAGCCATGCACAAAAAAATTATTTTGGTGAATTCAGGGGCAAAACTGTCACCTTTAAAACAAGCAGGATTGGGTCAAGATGTATGTTTTATGTGTGTGGAAACAAAGCATTAACTACATTATGAAGCTATGTCTGTTTCTTTTTACTGCAGGCCTGGAGCCAGGCTCAGTGGTTATAACAAAGCAGTCTGTAGATGCCACCTTCAAACCTCAGTTTGAACAGGTTATTTTGGGAAAGACTGTACTTCGCAGTACAAACCTAGATGAGCAGCTAGCTAAGGAACTGATGCAGTGCAGTAAAGAAATCGGTCAGTTCAATACAGTCATTGGAAACACTATGTGCACTTTGGACTTCTATGAAGGTAAGGCTGGTGACAACTAACAGAAGTATATTATTAAGCAGCAATAGGTAAATATTGAATCATATTTTAATGTTATGGTTCCCGTTCACTGAACGGAACACATGCCCTACTTTGAGTTGTCTTGTCAACTGGAATTAACATGTTTTTCATGTATATAAAATCAAACATTGTGCTTAGCAGTTTGCTGTACTGAACTTTTAATTTTGTGGAGGTTTATTTTTCCCCACCTCTAGTAAATCCTCTGAAATACATATAGTCTGCTATACACTTTTAATGTACTTGTCAGTTAGGTACGTTTGTCACAAAACTTCTGTGATTTACTGAGGCATCCTACAGGATTAGAGAGTGAGAATTATTTGTGGCTGTTTTGGGGATGAGTTTATTTTTAACTGGTTAAGTATCTAAAGTAAATCCTTTCTTGAAAATAGTGTTCCAACTTGTTTCCCATGTGCATTTTGAGTAAAGCAGTGATCAGACAACTGAAAACAGTATTTTGCTGAGTTGTGTCAATGCTGCTATGTAGGAGGGGCAAACCTCCAAGGCTTTACTTTGGATAAACATATAGACATTCAGGTGCTTTTCTGATCTCCCCATTCTATTCACAAACATCCTTCAAGTCTTGCGAGAACAGAGTGTAGGTGGCACCTGATACAACCTTCTCTAGCTGCTGCTGAATGGGTGCCAAAGGGTGCAATGCACAATGGAACATATTGTCTTTGTAATAGTGCTCAAGCTTGGTCAGAAGCAGACACTGTCAGTTTGTGTATCCCCTCAGACACCAATCACAGGTGCAAGCTACACTAAAAAAACATGTCAGGAATATTTTCAGCTCATACAGCAAAAACTGAGACAGGCTCAAGGGCATTAATTTAGGAGTATGTCTCCTGAAAAGAAAAAGATACTGAGTAAAACACTGTGTAATTTAACTTTACTGTACATAACCTACTGCTGTTTTATCTTTAGGTATTATTCTTGAATAATTTGAATAAATTATTTTTTTCAAAAAATAATAATAGTGTTGGCTAGTTAGCTTCAGAGACTCTTAATCTCTTACTTTAGAGAGTCAGTAGGTAATAAAATGTTCATCCTTTTAAGGCAGCATCAGGAAAGCATTTTCAAGCCTGGTAGTTTTTTAGACAATGATTAAACATAGAAAAAATGTAGCGCTTCCATACAGCCTAAAGGTTGTTGCTGAATTTTGACACATGCCGCACATGTGGGTAACTGCTGCTTACATTTTCCTGTTTATGAATTTGAAAATTAAAAGTTGAAGAAGACCAATTAAATTACTGTGGTTCACATAAAAAATAAAAGTAATATGTAAAACCTCTAGCAGTAGCTAAGAATCACTTTGTCCTATTTGTCTTGTGAATGGAAATAAAGAGTTGTAGTAAAAGCTGGACACTGTGTAGGGGAAACTGCAATAACTGTGTGTTTTAGAAACTGAATTTTTTCTGTGATTTCATTACTGACAATTTCTACAAATTGACTTTGTAGGACAGGGCAGGTTGGATGGTGCAATCTGCTTATATAACGAAGAAGAGAAACTGCAATATTTGAAGGAAGCTTATGATTCTGGTGTCAGAAACATAGAGATGGAGTCTTCCGTATTTGCTGCAATGTGTAATCTCAGCGGTGTCAAAGGTAAACGAACTTAAAGTCACTTTACTCAAGGTATAGGAAGTTAACTGCATTGTACGTAGTTTGTGGCAAAAACTGTGAATTAGGTGTTAACATACCTTCTGCATATAAAAAATCCAGTTCTGGTTATAGTTTTGTTGCTATGTTTGTTTGAGATGTGTAGTATGTATTCACAACTTACACAAACTTCGTTACATTAGTTCTTATACAGTTAATTCTGCCATTTGCTATTCTAGCCCATGGCAAGCATGTAAATCATTAAAGTACCTAATTACCCTATAGCATTAATTTGTTTTCTTCAGTTAGTTTTTGAAACTTATAGGAAGCAACTGGTTAATTTAAGTAATCAGGTGATTCTGATATAGAATCATAGAATCATAGAATCATTAAGGTTGGAAAAGACCTCAAGGATCATCAAGTCCAACCCAACACCACCTAACTCACTAAACCATGTCCCTAAGCACCACATCTACACGTTTCTTGAACACCTCCAGGGATGGTGACTCAACCACCTCCCTGGTTTATGATATGCATAAAACTATGATCACTTTCTATACTTTCATGTCAAATTGACCATATAGGTATTTTGTGTAGACTATGGATTTAATTCTTAAACAGTTGCAGACTTTAGTAACTTAATTAATAAACCATTCCTAATCATAAAATGCATTTTAATTTTTTTTTATGCAAGCTAACTACTTTTCAGTAAGAGTTAGAAGAAAAATAAGCAATTACAAATAATGTAATACAGTGCCTCTCTACATAATATGTTAACTGTAGTCTCCCACTTCCCTTGGGAAGGAATTTGCCAATTTAAAACACCAATGTTTCTCAAACTTTCTGAAACTCAAGGAGGGTGAAATGAAGAAAAATAAGCAAAAAGGGAAGCAGCGATATCAAACATCCTCAGTTCTTACCAACTTGAGAGTGATTAAAAACGCAACCCATGCTATCACGGAGCTATTTGGGAGCCTGGTCCTTTTTGCTGTCTCTGCTTTGTAGGTCTGTGATGTGTATTACTGCTTGTGCTCTACAAACTGTCACTAGCAGAGACCCCAGATAGAGAAGAGTGATGGTAGAGCTCAGCTTGAGTGAAAAGAGGGATTTGCCTTTGGGGCTCTGATTGCTCAAAGACAGCAGATGAGCCTCAGATGATCCACAAGATCCTCATGTACTTGCAGTGCTCCCCATTCATGAGTGTCGAAGTGGCTCATCTGCCAGCTCCTGACGGATGGCATCCAGAGCACAGGGATTTGAGTTGGGGGTAAGGTAGATAGCCAAGGGCTGTACCTACATCTGCTAGAACAGTGTCTCTGATCCCTTCCTACCAGTCAAGTCCTGGGTACTTGTGAAATATAATTCCTATCCAGGGAAGCATAAGAATCATAATAACAATAACTATCTGCAACTGCCCAAGAGGTCTTGCTTTATTAATGTGACAATGTGTTGCCATAGACTATTTGTAATTTCTTCTTAAATCATTCACAGCTGGGTAGTCCCCTAGCATTTTATGGTACTGTGCACTGTTTTTGGGGGGGTTGTTTTTTCTCATATTTCTAATCTTCTAGGTGTTCATTCAAATGTTTATGCTTTTGGACTGTAGAAGTGCCAGAATGTCATTCCTAACTAATGCTGTCTTCTAATTTCTAGCTGCCGTAGTGTGTGTCACTCTCCTGAATCGGCTTGAAGGGGATCAGATTAGTAGCTCACATGATGTACTTGTGGAGTATCAGCAGAGACCACAGAAGTTAGTGGGTTATTTCATTAAGAAAAGTCTTGGGAAAATATGAAATCCATCTGTGTTTTATAGAAGCAGAAGGCTTTTGCACAGCTGAAGTCATGGTCACGACTTCTGTGCATTAAAGTCTTTTGCCTCAGAATAGTTTACAGCATTTTGTATGTCTTTGGAAGTTAATCATTTATGTCACTGTGCTTTGGGAACTGAATGTGCTGAATGGACTTCAGTTAAGTTTTGCTTAGTTATGCATTGCTGGTTATAAGACTCACTTTTCTGTGAAGTGGAAAGTGGATCTGTTGTGAAGGACAAACCTGCTATAGTATGTGAAAAAGCTTTATTTATCCCTGCTGTAAAAGAAAAACTAGGAAGAAAATAAAATTTTATTGCCGAGTATCTGCAAACCACCAAATTAAGAATAACTTAAGAATGTTAAACCCTTTCTGGTTGTTATAAAATTATATAAATTATAATTGTCTTTGTTGCTTCACTTGTAAAGAAAACTTAAAGTGAATGCAGTTTATTTTTTGCAAATGTTGACAAATAAACAATGTTATTTTAATATATTAAAATTTAATTAAATTGCAAAGTGTGGTACTGAATATTCTAAGCATTAAGGACTTGACACTCAGTTGTTGAATATCTATGCTTCCTACATATTGATCCAACAAGGTAACTCGCATCTCATTTTAGCTATATAATTGAATTGATACCCAGGAAACATTTATGCATTAAGTAATTTTGCATTGAAGAACTTGAAATCTTTTGCTGAATCGAAGCTTCTGCTTACTGAGGAGGAAGCAAAGGCATTCAGGAATGCAGTATGGTGGTTCTTTTTTTTTTTTTCTTTGTTTCTTTTTAAATTGGTTTCCATTTCTGTGTCTTCAGGACATAACACACTGTTGCAATGGTTCCCAGTTCTTCTGAAGACTGCACATGCCATCAAAACCATTTCTGATTTTTTTTCCACTACTGTTGGCCTAGTGTTTGAGGTTTTTTTTTAAATAATACTCGTTGCTGCCTTGTTGCTGTGTTTAGAATATACATACATGGTTGGCTAAAGAAAAATGCATTTATTTCTTGTTTTTTCTTTTTTTTTTTCTCCCTACTGCAGTCGAGGGTCCAGTCCTAGCAGGAGCTGTAGGTCCAAAGGGCCTGAATAAGCTCTCAGAACAGCTTTCGCTGATTCAGCTAAATGAGTTTTTCTTTTTGAGGACTGTAGTCTGCAATACTCTCTCAACAAGCATAAGAATTAGATCTGAGAAGGAGTGATGTAGTAGTAGGCACAATCACCAAGAAGTATCAGAAACTGGAAGCAATGTGATAGAAACATTAAAAAAGGAAGGGATGACTCTTGGAAATACGAAACTGCCAATGAGGATTAGTCTCCTTAAATTTGATAAATTTTCAACTAGAGAACATGTAAAGGGATAAAAATATTAGATTTTTTTATTCACTAATTTAGTCTTCCTTAAATTTTAAAAACACATTTTCTTATTTATGCTCAGGATATACAGTAAATGTAAGTTTTCAGAGAAAGCTGTTTTTTCCCTAAGCTTAAGGAAAGGAGTTGGGTGGGAATGGCTCCTCATTTTGTTTGAACTGTGCCTTCCTTATTTAAAGAAAAAAAAAATCTCTGCTTAACTATGCCTAGTGCTTGCTTGGGCATTGCACGAAGCCCTGTGAGGTCCCTTGGGAAACATGCAACAAAGCACATCCTTGCTCTTCAGCCTCCTGTTCCCAGAACAGTAGCAAGGAGATGAAAAGGAGATCACTTAAGAAGCAACGTGCTGTACTCTAGGCTGAAGAAAAGCTTATACCAGATTGACTAGTATGAGTTTGGAGAAGACAGTTTGCTGTTGTAAAAGAAATATTTACTATGATTTACCTAAAGAGGAGAAAAAATATTTAATAAGAAAACAAACACCTAATGTGGCTCTGTGAAGCTTTGGGGAAGCATATTATTGCAGTTGTCCTGGAAGTATGAATCTGCAATGGGGTGATTTGTCTTTTTAAGGGAAGGACAGCCAGGATCGGGAAGCTGGTTAAAAAGAAAAAGTTCTTACGTCATTTAACAGTGAGCTGTCAACTGAAACTACAAAGCTTTTGTATTTACAGTCATAATAAGTGGGCACTTCAATTTTTATAACGTACAAAAACTCTTACATGCTGCATGCTGAAATATAACTAGCACTGTGGCCTGGCTGAGTTGGAGCTAAGATTTAAGCATTCATGGAGCGATTAAACTATTTTATTGAATCAGTGCACGAGACCTTAGCAGAAACCCCTGCAAGGCTTTAGCCGTTCACTTTTTGCCAATATGTCCTTTCTCCTTCCCACTGTTCCTTGGGATGTTGTACTTTTCTTTCCACTAAGATATTTTTCTTCTGTGCTTCCCAACAGATAGAGTACAGGGATGTATGACAACTTAAAATTAGAATTCAAAGGAGACCAAGTATCCTCCTGCTTCTGACAGTCACCTTCCTGTAATGCTGTATTCCTAATGCAAGAGGGTGCTCTATAAACACATCTTGTGCGTAATGAAATATTTTCTTAGCTTCAGAGGAAACCTGCCCGAATGTTACCCTGATAGGAACAATTGTATTTTCCCTTGTGACTGCAACTGGACAGAGAGATAAAGAAATGAGTCAGCTGTGTGCATCCGGCAAGTTACCTTCCTGTAGGTTTTACAAAAATGTCCATAAAGATTTATAAAATATTTAACAGGCTTTTATATGCAAATCAGTTCTTTAATATTAGTAATTCACATTCTTTCTGTAGAACATGAGTCACGATTGGAGTGGTGATATTTTTAATAGCATATATGATATTGCATACATGTTTGCTATTACATAGTGCAGTGTCTGCTGGTAGATTTACAAATCCTGGAAACCTCAGAAACCTCAATATCAAATCAAAGGCCTGCTTTCATTCTCTGTCACCCTGTACCTAGCAATATACTATGGAATCAGTTTACTCCAGAGATCAGAAAGGATGAAAGCAAAGAAGGAGGGGAGAAGATACAAATAGGGTGGAAGTGTGAAGGGAGAAGACTGTTTTCTACCAATGATTTGTTCTGTGAATTCCTACCTTGTTGTTAAAGAAATGGTCGAGACTGTAATGACGATAGGCTAGAACGCATTTGTTTCACATTTGCAAGAGACTGAGAATGCGCAGTAACTTGATTAGTGACTTGAAGGAGTGGATTTTTATTTTTGGCATCTTGATATACTTGAGAAATGTTTTCTTTAATGGAAGGTATGAGAAATCCTGAAAAGGATTGTTTTGGAATGACCCATTGCCAGAAGTGCTTACGAGTATAAATGTTTTTATCTGTCCTTTAAAAACCAAGCAAAATAATGCAGTATTTTCAGCATTTCCTGAAAATATACACATGTAATATGCAATATTTCAGTAAAGCATTTGACCCATCTTCCACAGTATCCTCGTGGCTAAACTG